TGCGCGGCGGGCCATACAACTGACGGTCGCGGCTGTCAGTCTTAGGAGCGTTGAAATTATAAATAGCGCATCTATGTAAAAGGTGTGTTGAATAAAATTTGTTTCCAAGAAACATCACACCTATATAACAACTGTGCGTTATCGTTTTCGTCTGATATTTCGGCGCAGATAGAAAGAAATAATCTTTGCAGAAGTATTCGATGTCATGATAGTAACTGTTCCTTATCGTTTCCGTCTAATATTGGGCAATGCTCCGCTTCATTTTCGCACGTACTTTCACTGTGCAAAAGGGTTTTTAATTCGACGCAGGTAGAAAGAAGTAAACTTTGCAGAAAGATTCGATTTCGTGATAGTAACTGTGCGTTATCGTTTTTGTCTGATATTGATGGATGCTCCGCTTTGTTTTTGCATGTATTTTCACCGTGCAAAAGGGTTTTTAATTCGGCGCAGATAGAAAGAAATAATCTTTGCAGAAGTATTCGATGTCATGATAGTAACTGTTCCTTATCGTTTCCGTCTAATATTGGGCAATGCTCCGCTTCATTTTCGCACGTACTTTCACTGTGCAAAAGGGTTTTTAATTCGACGCAGGTAGAAAGAAGTAAACTTTGCAGAAAGATTCGATTTCGTGATAGTAATTGTGCGTTATCGTTTTCGTATCATATTGATGGATGCTCCGCTTCATTTTCGCACGTTCTTTCACCATGCAAAAGGGTTTTTAATTCGGCGCAGGTAGAAAGAAGTAAACTTTGCAGAAAATTTCGATGTCGTGATAGTAACTGTGCATTATCGTTTTCGCCTCTATTTGTTGGATGCTCCGCTTTATTTTCGCATGTACTTTCAGTAAAATTGTTTTTAATTCAGTTCAATAAATAGGAAGTAATCTTTGCAGAAATATTATTATTTTACCTGGAATTTTGATTATATATATATATATATATATATATATATATATATATATATATAACCTAAATATTCCGACGTTGTGAAATGTGCGATAAGATTACGGTGCCATCTCGAAAAATATTCGTGAACTAATTTTTCACTCTACTTTATCATAATTGTCGGAATACCTAACCGCATGTCCTCATAAACTTTTCTGCAAACTTTTCGTATCTTTTTTAGCATCAAAACTAAATTTTGAAAGTGTAGTAGTGATCTTTGAATTTTTTCTGATTGGAGCATTCACAGTTTCAGTATGTACAACCTGCAGAATGTTCGTATTAAGCAAATATTGCACTAACTGACAGCTCAAAATTTAAATTTTTATAAATTTGTTTCGTTTTTGTTACATATTGAGCAATGCTCCAATTTATTTTTGCGTGTACTTTTTGTTGTGTAAAAGCGCTTGTAATTCCGTGCAAGCAACTAGACGTAAACTTTGCAGAAAAAAGTCAATGTTTTTTTGCATGTCCGGCATCCCCTTAAGACATATATTATACTATAAACAATGTGCAATAAACTCGATGAATATTCAAAAATAATTTAGAATTTTAGAATATTCTAAAATTGTTCTCGAAGAATATTCCAGAAACATTCTCGACAAATATTCTATACACTTTCGAAGAATATTCTTAACATGTTCTTTTTTACTATGAAAATATGACTCTAATTGTAATATTCTACGTATATTTATTGAACATTCCATTTGAATATTCTGAAATTGAGAATATTGGCATTCCATAAGAATATTCATAGAACATTGTGTGCTATATGAGTATACTCACCATCTGAATGTACAATATTTTGTCAATCTTACGACTAACTTTAGGAATAAAATACAGGGCCTTTAAAAGCTCAGGCACAGATGTTATAGTGCGATATCAACTAATCTAAATATTAGTATAAATCCTCAATACAGTGAGAAGGTAGTTTATTAATACGTGTTTCGAACAGCCCGGGTTGGTGAGCGGCTAGTTCGTAATGCCGTCGAACTACCGTCGACTGCTACGTTTGGATGCGCGAATATAAGGTTGTGTTCTCTTATCCAGGAGCCTCGTAAGATGGTGTGAGAGGATAGTGCGAGTGTGCTACAATGTGCAAGCACGGCGTGGTCCTGCTGAGGACACGCGTGTAGTTGCCCGGCGCCTCCGCGCTGGGAAGAAAATCCCCCCTTCCGGAGGAAGGTATTCACTCAGAGTACGGAGACAGTGACCCGTCTCCTCTCGTGAGCGTCGGAGTCAAGTCCGAGTGAAATTCAGCTTTGTTTGGCGTGGGAGCCACAGCGGCTGAATCTGAGGTGATATACAGGCGAGCGGGACTCGCCTGAACAGTCGCGCACGCGGCGAAGGCTAAGTCTCGTAGGGACTTAAACGCGTATGTAACTCGCGTGCTTGAATCGCGTATGCGGCGGAGTCTGAGTTTAAGTGACGTGGAGGCGAGCGTGGCTCGGCTTCCTGCGGTCACTGATGCGACAAAGACTAAGGTTCGCAGGGACTTAGTCGTGAGTGGAGCTCGTGGGTGGAGTCACGTATGAGACGGCGTATAAGTCTCGCGTCGACTTACAGTAACTGTGGACGTGCATTGATAGTGCCGCGTGTGTGACTAACGCTAAGTCTCGGTGAGACTAGAAGCGAGTATCCCTCGCGTGTTGAGTCGCGGATGCGACGATGTATAAGTCTGGAGTCGACTTATCTGCGAACTTGTTTCGCGTGAGTACTGCGCTCCTGGCAGCGAAGCAATAGCAAGCGTGGCTCGCGTAAGGGCTGCGTCCCTGGCAGCAGAGTCCCGAAAGATATCTACGACCCGTGCGGAGTCGTGAGCACCGCGTTCTGTCGAACTGGTACACGCTATCTGCGATACTTGAGCTAGCGCAAAGGAGAGCGTCCACTGCAGTGGAGGCTCCGAGGTAATTCGAATGGTCGCGCGAAGCTTTCTCCAATCGTCGATCGTATGAAGAAGGTGGAGATCCATGGAGTTACCTGTATACTTTGTACCGAAAAGTCAACGTGTCGCAGACACTTTAAAGGCAATGTAGCAAAGCAAAAGAATACCTCGTAGAGGCAATAGGTTTGTTCTTTCGACCTGACCTAGGGCTGCACTGGAACTGTACTAGTTGAAGAAAGTTCAAGATAGTGCAGACCAGTGCAAAGATACATATGGGTCTGAAAAGAACGGGTAAGAGCAAGTTAGAGCAGTGTAAGATGGCGGACAACATGGCTGGGTTAAATAACATAGATCAATTTATGGATCATGTTGAAGAAAATGCTATCGTACTACCACCACCACCTATGGAAGAAGATGATGGTAAAGTATATTTGCATGAATTAAATTATTAGCAGGATAGAAAGTATTAACACGATAAGAATATCTAACCTTTTTATTATGTTTAGGTTATGACGAGTTACGTATTTTGCATCCTATTTTTGGAGCAATCCAAAGAATAGAGCATGTAAAAATAATGAATTATATCGAAAATATTGTTGTAAGATATAACAACATTGACTTCATTATGCATTTTCGTTTGTCTCGAGAAGTTGCTAATGAACTTATAGCAAAATTCAGCGTGTCAGAAGTATTTACTTCCTTACAAGGTATTTAATAGTATTAATACATAACATGCGCTGTCTATCTCCCTGTATTACCTTTTTTCTTCACAACAGTTTATTATTCTTTTAGATGATGGTGGGTATGTAAAAATAACAGCTGAGAAGCACATATTATGCTATTTATGATTTGGCCATGAAAGTTCATCCTATCGTGACGTTGCTGACAGATTTGGAATAACAATCAGTGCTTTGTACAATGTAATTTCACGAGTTACGACATGTATCTTGTCAATGGCACATAATATTATTAAATATCCCACTTTGAATGAGAAAAAAGAAACAGCAGCGTATTATTATCAAACCAAAGGCTTTCCTGGTGTGATTGGTAATATTACACACCCCCCCCCCC